AGTTTCTTGAGTTCTTTATATATTTTGGAGATCAGACCTTTGTCAGTTGCGGGGTTGGTGAAGATCTTCTCCCAGAAAGTGGGTTGCCTTTTTGTCTTAGTGACAGTGTCCTTTGCTTTACAGAAGCTTCTCAGTCACAGGAGGTCCCATTTATTCAAGAGGCCCTTAATGTCTGTGCTGCTGGGGTTATACGTAGGAAGTGGTCTCCTGTGCCCATGTGTTGTAGAGTACTTCCTACTTTCTCTTCTATCAGGTTCAGTGTATTCGGACTGATATTGAGGTCTTTAATCCATTTGGACTTGAGTTTTATGCATCCTGATAGATATGGATCTATTTTCATTCTTCTACAGGTTGACATCCAGTTTTGCCAGCACAATTTGTTGAAGATGCTCTCTTTTATCCATTGTATACTTTTAGCTCCTTTATCGAAAATCAGGTGTTCATAGGTTTGTGGGTTAAAGTCAGGGTCTTCTATTCGATTCCATTGGTCGACTTCTCTGTTTTTATGCCAATACCAAGCTGTTTTCAATACTGTATCTCTGTAGTAGAGTTTGATGTCAGGGATGGTAATGCCTCCAGAAGTTCCTTTATTGTATAAGATTGCTTTGGCTATCCTGGGTTTTTTGTTTTTCCATATAAAGTTGATTATTGTCTTCTCCAGATCTGTGAAGAATTTTGATGGGATTTTGATGGGGATTGCATTGAATCTATAGATTGCTTTTGGTAGAATTGCCATTTTTACTATGTTGATCCTTCCAATCCAAGAGCAAGGGAGGTCCTTCCATTTTCTGGTGTCCTCTTCAATTTCTTTCTTCAAAGACTTAAAGTTCTTGTCAAATAGATCTTTCACTTCCTTGGTCAGAGTTACCCCAAGATATTTTATGGTATTTGTGGCTATCATGAAAGGTGATGCTTCTCTGATTTCCCTCTCTGCTTCCTTATCCTTAGTGTATAGGAAGGCAACTGATTTTTTGGAGTTGATCTTGTATCCTGCCACATTACTAAAGGTGTTTATCACAAAGGAAAAACATTTCACTGGAGGTTTCAGAGGTTTAGTTCATTATCACCATGGTAAAATGTGGTAGCGTGCACGCAGATATGGTTCTGTAGTTGAGTGGTAGGGAACAGGAAGTGATATGAAACAGGGGTTATGGCTTGAGCAAACATGAGACCTCAAAGCCTGCCTCCACTGTAACACATTTTTTTCCAACAAGACCACACTACTCTACCAAGACCAGAGCTCCAAATAGTGCTATTCCTTTTGTGTGACATTTTCTTTGAAACTGAAACATTGCACTCCTTAGCCCCCAAAGGCCTCTAGCCCTATCATAATACAAAAGTGTCTTCAGTCCAACTTCAAAAGTACCCATATTATATAACTAACTCAAATTTATTTAAATGTCTAAAGTTCAAAGTCTCTTCTGAGATTCACACAGTCTCATAAGTGTAATCCCCTGTAAGATCTAAATCAAAAAGCAGATCACATACTTCCAACATAATGCCAAAAATATACATTATCATTCCAAACTGTAAGAAAGGAAGCATAGTGAGGAAACACTGCACAGAAGCAAGAGTGAAAACCAGCTGGGCAATCTCTAAACTCTGCATCTCTGTGTCTGATGTCAAAATGTTCTTCAGATCTCCATCTCTGTTTATCTTTGTTGATCTCAACACACTCATATCTCTTGTGCTGGTTCCACTCCCTGTTAGTATCTTTCCTTGGCAGGTATCCTATGACTCTGATATCTCCAATACCTTGGGGTTTCTAGGGCAATCCAGGCTTCAATTTAGCAGCTTCAAAGAATGACCTCTTTAGGCTTCCATTTTGAGATACCTCTGACACATGCCTGGTCTCAGTATCACATGACTTACTATCCTTAGTCGTGGAAGCAAATTGTGTAGCCCCTATCCTCCATCCTTACCTCCTGAGCCACATGGCCAGAGCTACAAATTTCTGCTACTTACTGGGCCTGTAAAGTGGTTCCCTCATGCAGTTGTATCTTCATCAACTTTGTATTTTTTTTTTTTTTAATTTCCTTGACTGCCTGAGCTTGGCTGTCCTGAAATTGCATCTGTAGACCAGACTGGTCTCAAGTGCAGAGACTTGCTAGCCTTTGCCTTCTGAGTGGCATGCAGCACCACACCTTGCTTTAAGCTTTTCTTTAATTCTTTTTCATAAATCGGAAACTTAGCTAGGTGGGCTCTTGACCTGAGGTCCCCACCCTTTATTCCATTTATTAATCTGTTTATTTCCTTGAACACTGGATTCAGACCTTTTACACCTCCTGGTGATTCATTTCTCCTCAAATTATTCTACATTGTGCATTTTTCCTTACTTGGCTTTTTCCTTTTCCTTATAAATCTTCATTAGAGTTAACACTAATAAACCACATGACAAAGTCTATACTAGGTACTCTTGAGATTTCTTCTGCCAATGGAATTGTGTCAAAACACTTCAATTTAGCCTCAAGAAAATTTTTCAGACAAGAAAGCAGGGACATTCTTCACCAAAATATCATAAGAATGATCTCTAGGCCACATGATAATATTCTTCTCCTTTGAAAACTCTTGAGCCAGACTCTGACAATTCAAATCACCTTTATCACCACCATCTTATATGCTTCTACTTGTATGTCCAATTAAACAACACTTAAAGTGTTCAGCTGCTTTTCTAATTCCCAGCCTCAAGGTCCATATTCCTTCAAACAAAACATGGTCATGCCTATCACAGCAATACCCAGGTCCCTGATATCAACATCTGTCTTAGGGTTTCTCTTGCTGTAAAGAGACGCCATGACTATGGCAACTCTTAAAAATTAAAAACATTTAATTATAGTGGCTTACATTTTACAGAGGTTTAGTCATTGATCATCATAGTGTGACATCGTGGTGTACAGCAGACATGGTGCTAGAGTTGAGAGCCGATAGGCAGGCAACAAGAAATATTCTGAGATGTTGGACATGGCTTGAACATATATGAGACCTCAGATTCTGCCTCTAGAGTGCCATGTTTCCTCATAAAAGATCATACCTACTCCAACAAGGTCACATCTCATTATAGTGCCTCTTCCTTTGGGGACCAGTTTCTTTCAAATCACCACAGAAGCTCAATTAACACTATTGCTCTTTTCCTCCGTTTACTGGATATTTACTCCATTTTTAGACATTACTCCATTTATAGGATATTTACTCCATTTCCTTCTCTCGGTGCTTGACATTCTCAGTTAAGAAGGACTGGGGCTCCCATAACTATTTCAAACCCACAGTTCTCAATATTTGGTTAAGAGGGACTTGAAACTATGCCCTTGTGACTTTGTTTTATAGTCTTTAGTGAAGAGGACATGAGGGTTTTCTCCATCATCTCACACCTGTGGCCTTGATCACACTCACTGTGATATCTGAGCCTCTATTTTCTTCTTTCAGCAGAAACCACGATTTTACTCATTATGGGCCTTTTCCCTCATTGCAGTCATTTTTCTTCATAAGATTCATATCAACAGGAGCAGAATACTTTAAAGTGGGAATTTGTAGCAAAGAGTAAACATTCTTAGCACCTTGGGGAATCACTTACAATGTATCCAGAGCCTCATGTATCTTTACAGCTTTCACATTCACACATCTGATTGCTTACTACAGATAGGTGATTTGTATGTGGGATGTCAGAAATCAAAATAAATATATTCAATGATTGTATTTCAATAGGGGCCTAGCTAGAAAAAATTTAGTCTATGAAAAGTAAATATATAAGTGAATATGTATATAAGTCTAGACTTATAAGAAATTGAATTATGAATAAGCACACAAAATACTAAAATTATTACAGGAATTTGTAACATTAAAATAGATATTCTTCATAAAACAACAAACATTAGCATACATATTAACATGTGTGGTACATGGCCTTTAGTGAGATTATCTTGGTTTTCTTGGATTAAAACTGTTCAAAATATGATGCCAGTTAATATATAACCAAGTAGGTTATGGTCGCAGGGAGAGAAGTAGAGAAAGACTCATAAGAATGATAAAAAAAAATGAAAGCATTGATGCTGAGTCAAAGATAAGAATAAGGACACTGGGAAAAAGGAAAATACTTTTTGTGGTTAAAAATTATGTCAGAATAGAAACTAGATATGCATCACTTGCTTGTGAGTATCTTGTTTGTAAAATGACTTTGGTTTCCAGAAGAAAAAAAAAGACCCAGGGAAGAAGAGATATAAGACGAAGAGAAGAGGCTCGTGTTGATAAAAAATAAAGCAAATATGTGTCTATCAAGGAAGGTTTGCATCCTCCCCTCCCCCCCCCAAAAAAAAGCACAAATAGCAATGTAGGATCAAGCAAAGAAATCTTAATTTTCTCAGGAAATATTTTTCCACAACAAAATCTAATTGATGCAAATCACTTTACAGGGGAAAGTTTAGAGTAACTATGAAAGAAAGTGCAAAGAGAAAAAAAGTTATAAAGAGCCCCTTTTAATAACCAAGAAACTCTTGATAAAGATACACACTAAGTCACATGGATCAAAGCTGTAGATAAACTGCTTACTCTAAAACCCCCTTTAGAATGTAGAGCAATGCAGAAATAACTGTGTCAGGTAGTATTCCTAAAATGTGTCTGTGTTCTTGCCTTTCCCTTCCTGAATCCAGCATGAGAGTTAACACCTGCAGTTCTCTCAGACATCCTTTAATTGTTATGTGTCCCATTACCCTATTCTTCAGCATCCCAATTTTGAAGCTTCAGGCAAACAATATAATGTGTCTCCACCAACGTTTGTCTATGATAAACACGTACTATTTACTTAAAAGATTATTTGAAATATATAATCATTATTTTAGATATGTATACTATGTTTTCCTCATCATGCACCTTTGTATAATTTTTCTCATCTATGTACAATGTTATAGTAAAGAAATATTTAATTCTATATTTCTTCTTTTTTTCTGTATTACAAACTTTATTAGTGCTGGGGAAAGGAGGACAGGCAGCTCCGGTCTCTCCCTACTTTACTGCTTGCAGTTGCCATTAATGGGAAGGTTCAAATGGTCAGGGGAGGACAGGAAGGCCTTGATCTTGGGCCGGGCACTGAGGCGCGCCACATAGCCACTGAGCAGGGGGAAGTTGTCCAGGCAGCCAGGGGCCAGGACTTGGTGGATCAGCAGCAGATCTAGCAAGTTGTAATCGGCGAAGGAGATCTGGTCACCCACGATGAAGGCTTTGCCTCCTTGGTTCTGGGACAGCAGGGTCTCGAAAGGTTTCAGGTGTCCAGGCAGGGCCTTCACATAGTCATCCTTCCCTTCATATTTGGTGTAGATGAGGGTGATGTATTTCAGGCGAAGGTCTTCCACCCCATCATTCACCATATCCACCAGGGCAGCCTCCTTCTGATCTTTTCCATAAAGCCCAAGGGATCGGCCCAAGTGCCTCAAGATGGCATTAGATTGGTACAGGGTAAGGTCTCCATCCTGAAACTTGGGGAGCTGCGCATACAGACAGGTGGACTTGAGCAAGCCTTTCATCCAAGTATCTATGGACACCACCTCCTCCTTCCTCTGGTCCTGGTCAGCCAGTAGTATGCGCATGGCCTCACAGCGCCCTCGAACTGGGAAGTAGACAATGGTGTACGGCGGCATGGCTGCTGCGTAGACGGAGGCACGAATTCTGAGCTGCATAGACGGTAACGGATCTTGGGTGTGGAAGCCAGCTAATTCTATATTTCTTTGATCTATTTTATTATTTGTATAATTCCCAAAATCAGGACTGATGAGCATATTCTTTAAATGTTTAGTATATTTATCTAATCGCTTCTCGAAAACGCTGTTTCCTATTGCACCATCACAAGTCATTTCCCACCTGCAATAAGGGTTATTGTTCTTTAGAAATTTTTCCCAGGCTGATGGCTGTAAAGTAATGACATATGTTTATTTGCATTTCCCTAACTAGCACTGAGTTTGAGTTTTCTTTTGTTTTATCATTTTGATTTTCTCCTTGGTGAATTTTAACTTCATATTTGTTCTCATTATTCCTACCATTAGCTAACAGTAAAAGCAAGGAATCCTTTACACATCCTAGCTTTACTTAATAAAGCTTCAAATTTCTCTACAGTAATTCTTTTTTTTGCATTTTAGGGGTCATTACTTTTGCATCTCTATTTTGCATTGTTTTGTAAAACTATGTTGCAGTTTACTGAGAGAGTTTACAAACACATACATGATTTGTTTGTTTTAATGTTTCCAAGTAGACATCTTTTACTTTCATATCTAAGAGGAGAGAAGACAGAGGATATTAAATCACTATCCCAAAGTCATGCTTAATAATTGGCAAACCTAAAATTGCCTCAGGAATTTTTAAGTTTCGTTATTTGTTTGTCTATCTCTCTATCTATCATCTATCTATCTATCTATCTATCTATCTACCTATCTATTTATTTGAGGGCACATGCCACTGCACTCCTGTAGAGGTCAGAGAATAATTATCAGGAGTGTACTCTCTCTGCCAAGTGAGAGTATCAGATATCAAGGTCAGATTCTCAGGCTTTATGAAAAGTGTGAGGTAAAACTCCCAGGCAAAGAAATACACATGACCCTGAACCAGAGCCAGTAAAAGAAATACACCCTGGTGCTGAATCCAGAGTGAGTGAAAGGAAAACATTGGCCCTGAAACCAGAGCCAAGGAAACATGCTTTGGACCTGGAGCCAGAGCCGGTGAAAAAAATATACCTTGTCCCTGGGGCTAAGGCCAAAAGACTAAAAAGGCAAGTAGAATAATCACAGTTTGGCCTTGAAACAAGAGTTAACTCTGCCCCTGACCAACTGAACATAAACCAACCAATCTCTAAACAGGAAAACTAGTCAATCTGAGCATGTGCAAACTCGGGGGTATCATAATCTGACCAATGCCCTTCCTGAAAATCTTCTCCCTGGAAACACACCACCCCTAAGGAGCCCTATTAAAGCCTCTTTGCCTGTTCAGTTATCAGCTTTCCCACCCTTTTAGAGGCAGTTACTTGTCTGGATTTCTCCTTCTCAAATACCTTTCTTAATAGAGTTTTGGGTGAAGATCTTGCACTGGAGCATGGTGTAGGAGGTCTTTCTGTATTTGTGTCGCTTTCATTGGTTGAATAAAGAAACTGCCTTGGCCTTTTGATAGGGCAGAAAATTAAGTAGGTGGAGTAGACAGAACATGATGCTGGTGAGAAGGATAATGTGGCAGACATCATGATTCTCCTGTCTGGGACAGATGCTGGTTAGAATCTTTTCTGGTAAGCCACGACCTTGTGATGATATACAGATGATTAGAAATGGGTTAAATCAAGTTTTGAGAATTAGCCAATAAGAGGCTAGAGTATATGGGCAAAGCAGTAATTTAATTAATACAATTTCCATGTGGTTATTTCAGGGATTAAGCTATCCAGGGGGCTGGGATGCAGCCCTCCAGTCCTACTACAGGAGCAGAGCCGATTGTCTACTGGGACATTCCCTTAGGGGAGCCGAGCTACAGAAGTAACAGATAATTCTGTGGGGGAAACTCCCTTGGAAATGGAGCAGAAGTAACATTTTGTCTCTGGAGACAGAAGAGATTGATACATTTGTTCACGGGTTTCCTCTTAAGCATGATGCAGAAGGAGTAACATTTTGGACCGGAGCTGAGAATAATTGGATACCTCTGCTTAGTAGCTTGCATAAGAGTACATAGCAGCAGAAGAACTTGATACTTCTGCTGGGAAGCTCCTGTAGGTGGGTGTGGGGTAGTGCTCACCTACAAAGGATTTCTCTTGGAGAGGACCAGGATTTCTACATCCCCCACTACACTCCAGCATCAGGTATAGCCTGATTCCTCACAAGTCAGGATACCTTTCTTCTCATAGCTGTAGGTACCCAGGATACCTCCCTTTATAGCTGAAGATATAGTCATACTTACTGGCAGGTCCAGATAGCTTTCCCTCCAGAGCTGTAACACTTGCACAAAGCTCTTTTGACCACTGAGTTATCTCAACATCTTACAATTCTGTTTTTAATATATTTTAATATATTAATAGATCATATAAACAATGTTCTTTGTTATAAAATCTTCATAAACAAAGTACTTTCATTGTAACCACTTCTATCAGCTTTTTTTGTCCTTTTATCTCACTCACTTCTTGCAATGGAACCCCATCAAAAATTATTCCAGACTCTGAATATATGAGGCAACATGAAATATTTGCCTGAATTTGGCTCAGACAATTAATATAATGAGCTCCAGTTCTATTTTCTTCCCAACAACACAATTTTATTCTACAGCTTAAAAATAGGGATCAAACACACACACACACACACACACACACACACACACACACGTGTGCTTTTTATCATTTCATGCTATGATTCACTCATAGACTAACTACACAGTGATTGTGAGCAGGGCCGTTCAATACATGGTTCTGTTTCTTTTGAATTGCTGCAGTTAATTGGTTGTCTGTCTTAGACTGGCATTGGTGCGGTAATTTCTATACCAACAATCAGTTTAAAATGATAGAAAGGTGTCTCCTGCTTCCCCCATCACCATCTGTTGTTTACTCTCTTTATGATAGCTATTCTTAATGGGTTAATATGAAATTTCAATTAATACCTTCATTGTATTATTGGACAGTTATATTTTTAATTTTGAAGTGGGTATGTTTGGGGCATTATGGCAGTTCATCTCTTTGCTTAATTATTTTTTTTCATTTGATTGCTTTCTTTCACTTTGATAAGCACTCTAGGTTCTAGTGTCCTCATGTATAAAAAGCTGAGAAAAAAGTCTCCTCTATTGTGTACTTCATCCCTTCTCTCTATTTGTTTCCTTTGTAGTGAAGAAGCTCTCAATTACAGGCTGTCCCATTTCCCAATTGTTGTTATTATTTTTGATCTAATGAAATTCTGTTCAGAAGGTTATGCCAGTCTTAAAGTTGTTCTCCTCAGATTCATATAGTGTGTTCAAAGTTTCTGGAAAACTCTCTGTCACTCCCCTTGTTTCGAACTGATATTTGTACAGGTTTAGAACTGAACATCGAACTTAATACTTCTATATATAGATATTCCATTTTTCCAATATCAACTCTTGAAGAGGTTTTTCATTCTCTAAGATGTCTCTTTGTGTATGATATGTCTGCTCCCTCTATTTTATTTCCCTCATACATACATCAGTTTATTTCTTCTTTCATTTTTATTTTTGGACGATGTATTAACTTGTCTCTATAGCAACATTTAAAATCATGTCTTTGAATAATGTAGGATTCCATTCTGTATACTCTGAATATGTTTTATTACCATCTGTTAATTAAAAAAAGCTGCTTTGGGCTGAGAGGTACCTCAAAATAGAGCAAGTTGGAAATTCCAAGCAGACATAGAAGAGAAAAGTAGGCAGAGTTGAGGAGACACCATGTAGACACTGATGGAGGAAGACACCATTTCACTGAAACTTTACCAGTAAACCACAAGCCTTATGGCAAAATATAAAATAATGGAAATGGGGTCAATTAAGATATAAAAGATAGATCGATAGATAGATGATAGATAGATAGCAATACACCTACATGATTGGCCAAGCAGTGCTGTAATTAACATAGTTTCGGTGTGATTATTTTGGGCTTCGGTGACCAGGAATGAACAAGCAGTCTCTGCCTACATGTGAAGTCTTCAGCATTACTAATTTCTTTTATTCTTTGAGCTCATAGTACTTTTGCATAAGTTTTGAGATATTTTTCTAGTTCTTTGGGGGATAATTTATGAGATTTTGATGAGTTTAGATTTGAATGTATAGATGATGTCAGTAAGGGAGCTGTTTTCAGGATATTAATTTTGTAAATCCATGCACATTTGTGACTCTTCCATCCTGTAGTGTTGTCTTCCAGTTCTTCAATGACTTACAACTTTCCTTGTGAAAGTATTTTGCCTGCTTTATTTAGCTAGTTCATAAGTGAATTTTTTCTTTTTCTTTCTTTTTTTTTGCTACTAATAATGGAATTGTTTTTATGATGTTACTGTCAGAATGTGCAGTAATAATACATAGAAAAAATTACTGGATATTTTATAGTGATTTTCTTTTTGGCTATTTTAATGAAATATTTTTTAGATTTCTGTTTCAGTCTTCAGAGTCTTTAAAGCATAGGTTAACATCATCTAGACACAGGTTAGCCTGAATTATTTCTTTAAAATTGGTAATTCTGTTAGCTTTCTCTTGTTTTATTGCTCTGGCTAAGATTTAAAGCCATTTGTATTCTGCATAATGGAGAGATTGGACATCCCTATATCATCCTTTACTTGAGAAAATGGCTTATTGTATGCCATTATTAAACTGAGGCATGATCCAAATAATTTCTTCAAGAGTTTTACCCTTAAGGAACACTGAAGTCTGTCCAAGATTTATTTGTACTTTCATGGTAATCATGTGACTTCAGTCCTTAATTCAGTTTGTCTCCAGTGCTGGTTGATTTGCATATGATGAACCAATTTACATTGGTGGTATGAAATCAATTCGAATATAGTAAGTGCTTTCCTAATTTATTATTTGAATTTTATTCACCTTTTCTTAGTTTCTTACCTTGCATTTTGAAGGTAGTTTATATCTCATATTAATTTACATTATTGGAAATGGATCATCATTTTTTATT